AATACTTTGGCTGTCTTCTGTTTCAACCTCATGGCTTGATGGACTGGGCCCAGTGGTATAGTATATTCATGTGATGCATTCTAAGTATATAGAACTGTTTGGTAGTGCTGTTTTTTTTCACTTGATTGCTTTGTGTTTAGAGAAGCAATCTAAGCTAATTGAGCATGGATTATATCATTTCAGTCAGCAGCACAGATAATGTCCAGCTTGCCCGCATGACGTAAACGTGTAATGCTTAGTAGTAGTCTCAGTGTCTCTGTTTCCATTAGATTTAGAAGAGTAATCAATTTCACTTGTCAGACTAAGGTCTCAGGTGGTGCAGAAATTCTTTACTGGAGCATATACAGGTTGTGTACAAGTAGGAGTGGCTGTGTGTGTGTGCAAATCAACTTTATGCATGCATGCAATGCAATGCAATGCTAGTGTTTTGTGTAGTGCCAACCTGAAATCAAGTCTCAAAAACCAGGAGTTAGGGCTTCTACTACATTGCTAAAATAGTTTGATATGTAAGTTAACATTAACTTAAATAACGTTACATTTTTCAAGAAAAATGGGTATAGGCAAACTGTTTATGCAATGTGACCAAGTTAACAGGTCATTAAAAATCTCATTCCATTTAACATTTCATTAGTATGTAGCAGCAGTAGTTTGAACTCAAGATTGCACAGGCATCAGCTTTTGAAGAAATCTTACACAGATCACTGCTGCACCTGTTCAGCCATATGTTGAGCAAACCATTCCAGCAGTGGTGTGCAGTTTCTTGTATTAACCACTTAAATGTATTGTGAGCTGTCCATATGATACCGGAAAGCAAAAATGAAAGTGTACGTACTGGCCTGATGTTGCAAATTTAACTTTTGAATTCTTAAATTCCCCAATAGCACATCCAGATTGCTTCCAGAAAATGTGGAACATCTTGGATTTTGAAAATTATCTGTGTTGCATTTATGTACGAGTAGACTGGTGGAGATGATTTGGATAATGAAGAGAATGATCACTTACTTATGTTATACTCTGGGATTAACTTCTTTTGCCATCATGGTTTTTCTACACACAGTACCCACCCTGAGTTTTTGGTTTGTTCGCCGCTTTAGGCTCCCTTGAATTTATTTTTGAATGTACTGAGGAGAAGAGCAGTTCAATGCAAAAAGTACTTAATCCTCAACTAAAGAAATCCATGTATGTAGTTCTCCTGGCATTGTTTTTCCTATCTTCTTTTGATGGCTTACTTTATTCGTGTTTGGAGCAAGTAGGAACTTTTAGGGCTTATCTCCACTACCGGTGGGATTGACGCTGCGGCGATTAATCCACCCGGGGTTGATTTAGCGGGTCTAGTGAGGACCTGCTAAATCGACTGCCGATCACTCTCCCATCGACTCTGGTACTCCACCAGAAGAAGAAGAGTAAGAGGAGTTGACGGGAGAGTGTCTCACGTCGACCAGCGTGGTGTGGACCCCGCGGTAAGTAGATCTAAGCTATGTCGACTTGAGTTACGCTACTAATGTAACTCAAATTGCGTAGCTTAGATCGATGATTTTTTTCCCCCCGTGGTGTAGACCTGCCCTTAGTTAGCATTTCAGCAGGTGAATACTTCTCAATGAGGAGGAATACATATCAATGAGGAGCAGCGTTACCTCGTTATTGAGCCAAATGTGTAAACAAGACAGATTTATCCAGACATAAACAAGGCAGATTATTTATAATATGCTGTGTGTGCTAGGTACTGATGAATCAGTTTCAACCACAGTCTTTTTTTTTTCCATATGGAACCTTACAGAAGTATTCACTTGTGATATCGCGTACAAACTAGACTGTGATTAGAAACAATAAAAGCCTTTGTTGTAAGCTTTATTTTTCCATTTAAAGTGGGTGGTTGGTTGGTTTCCATGGCCATGAACAGTTAATATAGAATATTTTTCACTGGTCAGGTCTAAATGTGCTGGGAGATAGAAGAGCATGAGCACCATGCGAGGTTATTTTTCATGGCTTTCTTCATTGTTTACATAGCACAGGCTTCTTGGAAGGTAGTAAAGAATTTTTTTTAAATTGAATCTTCATGAAAATAAGCACAGGTTTAACTGACAGGGGAGTAAGTTTCACAGGTCAACATGTTTTGTGAGCCCCAAATATTTGTGAAGCTTGCAAACAGGGCCGGCTCCAGGGTTTTGGCCGCCCCAAGCAGCCAAACAAAAAACAAAAACAAAAAAGCCGCGATCGCGATCTGCGTCGGCAATTCGGCGGGAGGTCCTTCGCTCCGAGCAGGAGTGAGGGACCATCCGTCGAATTGCCGCCGAACAGCTGGGCATGCCGCCCCAAGCACCTGCTTGGTAAGCTGGTGCCTGGAGCCGGCCCTTCTTGCAAATCCTCAAACTTTGCATGCTACACCCATCCCTAATGTTCACTGTGAGGTGGCTGAAGAGAGAAAGTGTACTTTTTTTAACTAACAATTTATGACTCTGTCAACACATGACACAGTTTGTCAAAGCTTTCTGCAGCTGCTGCTGCTGCTGTGAATTAATTTTGAACATCAGTTGTGAGTGGCAAACATTTTCTGCAGTGTGAGCAACTTTTTGTACAGTGTGAGTTGTCAGAAGCTTGATGTCTATCTTAAAAAAAGGCGGAACAACTCATTGATTATTACAAAATGTATTCTAGATAGAACGGCAGAAATATGAAGCACTTTTATTTCTTCCAGACCAATCAGTTAAGCCCTGACACTTGGGATTTGGGTTTTCCTCTCACAGTCAGCTAGTGTCTCATGTTAAGTAAGCAGGTCGGCTAGTGTTGTGGAACCTTGACTTTCAGACCCATAGTCCTAAAAGTGTCTGATGTAAACTTTATTTCTACACACCCAAGACAGCTAGATTAGACGGAGGTCAGCTTTATTCTTTTTGGAATCTGGAATTTGTCTCTATTTATTGATCACTTGTTTTCAGTGCTATAGAAATGAAGGCCTTTGTTTTTGATTCAGCTAAAGGAGTAAGCAATCTTAATAAAAGTTCCTAGCTCATCAGATTCAGCTGCAAAAGTTAGAAAATACCTTTTGAACTAGGACATCACCTTCCCTTTTTTAAATGAGTATGGTATCTAAAGGTGGTAACTAAACCCCCTTTTTTAGAACTCTTACATAGGGTTAAACTTCCAAAAATTCATCTGAAGTCATATGCCCCAAGACCAGTATCTGCATGTGCATTGGGATCCAGTAATTCCTTTTTAAAAAGGACTTAAAACATTTAAGGAGTGCAGCCACAGACAAAATGGATGGGTGAAAAGCTAATATGGTAAAGGACTGTGTAGTATTGTCTCCTCTTTCCTGGGCTCATTATGGTAGTAATGTTGTCAGGAGCAGTTCAGCAATAGGAGGTGATATGATGCAGATGGAATAAGGGGCTTCACTACAGTCCAAGAAGGCCAGGGAACAAGAGGATGCCTGCCTGGCCTGGACTCAATATATTCCTGCCATGCTAGCCATATTAAGTCTGAGCAAGGAACAGTTTCGCTTCTTGGCCATCAGGAAGGAGAAACTGCACAGAATCTAATGCTAGATACAGGCCATGCTGCAGAAAGAAAGAGAAATACAAACATGCTGCTCATGGCTCAGTAGTTGAAATGGGAGCTGAGGAGCAGGGATTCCCTAGGGGGGACCACATCATAGACAGCAGCAAAAGTCCCAGCAGTAGGCAAATGTTTTATCCTGTATATAGTATTAAAAGTCTGACACATTTGAGCAAAATGTTGCTGTATCAATGTAGCAAAGCCTCTTTTAAAATCTTGGTGTGAGTAGAAGTTCAGTGTAGGTTCACATCTGCTGAATCTAGTCAGGATTTTCAGTTTGAAATGTCTGATAAAATCATCCTTTGCTGCCTGCAACAGATTAGCACCCACTGTTAGCATTTTTCTGCTGAGTCATGAAGCATCTCGGTATTGCTTGAATTCAGAGTTTCTACGGAAACAGCTTCAAGGACTATGATGCACCTCATGAATGAATACTGTGTCACTTCATGTTATTAATCACTGTGACTACCAGAAATTTGGTCAGTACCTGCTTTTCCAAAATTACAGGAAGAATGTCATGACTTAGAGATGGCCATGGGTTTTTTTTATTTCTTATTTTTTTGGCTTCTCAGTTTGAAAGTAGATTTGTTTTTGTAAATGTCAGTTTGATTGGTAATTCCATAGCAAGTCCCTTTTGTAAGAATTCACATTAATTTCACAAATAAGACCGAAAGCGATTATTCAGACATAAACTGACAAATTCAAATGGATTTAAATCAAGCAACAGTAGCCTCCCAACATGATGAGCATACATGTTTGCATTAATTTGACTAATCACTGAATTGCTAACACTCCTAATAATTAAAGAACATAACTGTAAAAAAAACCTTTCTGCCTTTTATCAACAATGGTACTTCTTTTTTCTCTTTGTTCAGTATATTTTAATCTAAACCCAAGTCATGAAATCCTGGCCCCACTGAAGTCAGTAGGAGTTTTGCCATTGACTGTAATAGAGTTTGCATTTCACCTCACTATTGTTTCAGAACATTCTAGGCAGAGCTGGCTGAAGAACATTAAAAACGTCTTGCTAATTTTTGACATTTTTATTTAAATTTTTAATGTTGGAAAAAAATTCAACCTGCTCTACATGAAATGGTTAGAAAATCGCAAATATTTTTCACAAAAAATTCATCGAAGTTTTTTAAATTCAAAGAATTTCAACTGTCTCCAGTTCTGAGCAGCCCTCCCCCACTCTCTATAAGCATTTACGTTCTTTACAACAGCAGATGCGAGGCTTGGTAGCTTGCTGGCTTCTTTGATGCATAAAATCCTTTATTTTTTGTTCCTGGGTGTAGTTAGATTTGTAGTTGTGTATGTTTTAAAAGGAGGCTTGAGAATTTTATAAATTTCCCCATCAAGCTGCTTTTGCCCCAATGTGGTGAACAAAAAGACTACTAAATTTGCATATTTCTTACAAAAGATTTTGGTTTTGTTTCCGTTTCTAGGTATAACTATAGGTGTTTCTTACGGCAAAAAAGTTGAGCCACACAACATCCAGTTGGAGATAGTAAACTGCCTAAAGCAGCAATTTGTTTGCCTGAAAAGAGTTGCCAGGGGCTGTATGTTGGGTAAGTAATTTTGCACAAGTAGTGTAAAGAGGTTTGTTTTTTGGAATCTCTCCTTACAGTTTTATAGTTTAATATGCTGTCTATTTAACTGTAGCATCTAGAGCACTTATCTAAGACTCATCCCTTGGAAACATTTCCAGAACTTTGCTGGCTAATTTTGAAGCTCCTGGATACAGTGGCAAAATATTGTTCTAGGAACAAGTGCCTACACTTAAATTTAAAAAGAAATATAAAGAAAAATCCACGTGGATCTCTTTGCCCCTTGCCACCTCAGTGTGTTTGTCAGATAAATGACAATGGTGTTGTCCTCAATGGGTTGATCTTTTTGTATTTATGTGTTTTGCAGCAGTATATTATAGTGTTCTCCACTGCAAACCTCTAATGCAGACGTGCTCCACAGGTGTAAACTGTGATTTGCTTTTCCAAACAATTCCTTCACTGGCAGATTTTTAAGTCCAGAAGGGACCATTAGATCATCTAGTCTGACCTCCTGTATATTACAGGCCAGAATATTTCACCCAGTTATAAACGAGGGTTCTCCATTATTGATGCTGATGATGCATGAACCAAAAAGAACGTAGTTCCCCTTTCAGGTTTCAGGCTGAGTATATGGGTGTGGCAGTTACAAGCATATTTTGTCTTATAAACTCAGCAAAATTGCTCTGGAAATCATTAAGGCACCCACACACAAAAAATGGAACCACTTCCCAAAGCCATTTTTAAAGTCACTTTCCAAAGTAGAACCAATTTTGGTGTGGCTATGGCTTTAATTAAAAATACTTTCTCCTTTCCTATTTACATTGCCCTCCATTTTGTGATTATTGTGCATACAACACATATTCATAACTCTTTTACTACTACTTCGACTGTAAGTTCCTCAAAATGGTCTTGTAACAACAATTGTCTCCTCTCAGCTGAAGGGCAGGGGCGGGGTAAAGTGACCTAAGACGTGATGCTACCAAGTGTAACGCTCACATTTGAAGTTAAGCATGTGTTTTAAGTGCTTTGCTGGATTGGGCTGGAGCGCTCAGCCCTTACAAGGTAGACTCTTGTATCAAAAGTTTTAAATCCCAGCACAGTTCACTGGGTCCTTCATCCTCCTCAGGTAAATACATTGGATCAATTCAGTCTACTTTTTCTGGACTAAGTCTTTTTAAAAATAAAATCCTTTCTGCCCCGTGTAGACCAGGGATCAGCAACCTTTGGCACGCGGCCTGCCAGGGTAAGCACCTTGGTGGTCCGGGCCGGTTTGTTTACCTGCCGCGTCTGCAGGTTTGGCCGATCGCGGCTCCCGCTGGCTGCGGTTCGCCGCTGCAGACCAATGGGGGCTGGAGGAAGCAGCGGCCAGGCGTGCCGCGTGCCAAAGGTTGCTGATCCCTGGTGTAGACAGTGGACACTTCATGTGAGAATAAAACTTGTCCTGATGAGCTTGACTAGAATTTCCCCTCTCCAGTTCTGCACTGGGCTGTGTCTGCCAGCTATCCCTCAGGCAGCCATTTCATTGGCGCTGTACATCTATAGAGCACTTTGGCAAAGCCATGCCAAGCCTGATTCTGTATCTGTGTGGAGGCAAGGTAGAAGAAGGACCCATTCATTGGTGTGATGGTGGAACATGTTGGCTGAGGCACCTTGACAGAGGAATAGAGTGGGAAAATGGTTTGTGGAAAATTATATTTAAAATAAAAACCTATCAAGATATGTACCTTTGACATTTGCTTATACATTTTCTTGTCTATTTGAAGTGTAAGCTCTTCTGTCTTGTCCTGTTTGATGCTAAAGCATTTAAGAAAAGGATGCCTTGATCCTAAATGGCCCAGTCGGTTTCACCGCAATACAAATACTAAATAACTGTTATGATCGATTTTAAATAGAAGTTGGTTTAATGCTATTTTATATTTTTATTCTTATCTATTATTGTATTTCAGCCTTATTGGCATTCATAGTAAAAAGCTGGATCGTATTTTTGATCCAGTTGTGTATATAACTCACCCTGAAGTAGTCACGACTCAATCCTAAACCAGATTCAGACCAGGTATCCCAGGGAAAGTACTGCTGTAGCAATTGTAACGATTCTGTGAAATCTCAGCTTTCCAAAGACCTTGATTCTCAATTCCAATACAGCCTTAGATTTCATGTCTTTGAGTTGGGCTATATGTCCATTCAAGAATATGAAAAGGTTGCTTTTCCAGCTTCTTGAGTGGTCTGAACTGTTACGTACCTACAATATTTTTAAGCAGCCAAGTAAATGCTAATTGTTTCACAAGTAGCTTTTTCCAACTATTGAATAATGTTGAGTATCTTCTATAAGCAATTGTTTTTTCAGCTGCTGAGTGGTACTAAATATTAAATATTTTGCAGCTGTTCAGTTGCTTTATACATTTTAAGTTTCATGTTATTTTGTTGTTTGATGGCTCGGCACACACAAGCTAGTGAAAGGCTGTGGTAGCAGAAGAGCACATGTGTTTTCCTGATGCATCTTTATATGTTGTGGATAGTTTTAGCTGCCCAATAAGCAGTTATGTAGTACATGGAATTTGTGAAAGTTTGTGGTTTTATAGCATTTTTTTCCTCAAATGTTTAGAACTTTTACAAATTGTATGTTGCACCCAGGCCAGGAGATTGGTTTGTTTCCCCTCAGGCTTCAGGACTCTTTAGCACTATACATTCCTCACACAAACAATTCATAAGTTTCGTGGTAGGCAGGGACCACTACTAGCATCATGTCCTACCTTTCCGCTGCCCCAAGGGTCTTTACCAAGGTTCTGTCGGCTGCCGCAGCCAGTGTTCACTAGATGGGGATAATTGCCTTTCCACTCACTAGGCCTCCGCTTCAATGTGGAATAGTCTGCTCTCATGCCCACTCAACACACAGGCTTCATCAGGATCACTCTTCCGCTACCAAGGTTTACTTGTCTAAGGACAGTTTTGCCACAATGTCTAACCTTGTTTCAACAATACAGCAAAGCCAGTGAAATGCAGTAAGGGCTTGCATACAACTTCTGGGCCATATGGAAGCCGGTACATTTGTGACACCCTTACCAAGACTGCGCACTTGATGTCAAGCACTTGACATCCCCAGCAAGCACAATCTATCCAAACAGCTGTTTTTACTTCAGAAAGTCCTTGATTCTTTAGATTGGTGGAGGAATCCAAAAAAATGTGCATGGGAGTTCCATTCCTACAGCCTCTTCTTATGAGGCTCATCCTCATCACAGATGCTTCCCTGATAGACTGGATCTCTCATTCCCAGAACCTCACAGCTTGGGACTAATGGGCACCTCAGGAGGTGATCCTCTATATCAACATGCTAGCACTCAAAGCAGTTCACTACGCTTGCCAGCACTTCCTACCCCATACCGGAGGTTGCCCAATCAGAGTAGTGCTGGATAACGGAGCAGCAATGTATTATGTCAATTGACAAGGAAGAGCAAGATCCTAGTCCTGTTGCACCAAATCTGTAAAACTATGGAACTGGTGCATATCACACTGCATAGAGATCTCAGTGGCTTATCTACAGGACGACAGAACGTAGCGGCAGACTCCCTTAGCAGACACTTCTGCACTGACCACAAATGGAAGCTGGATAACAAGGTATTCAGAAATAAATGTCTGTCTTGGGTTTATCCAGAGATAGATCTCTTTGCAACTCCATCCAGTCCGAAGTGCAGATGATTCTGCTTGAGGGAAAGGAGCCGCCACAAATCAATGAGAGACGGCCCTGATCACTCCTTAGCCTTGTGTATTGCTATATGCTTATTCCCCTCATGCTTCTCCTGAACAAATTGAAACGGGAGATATTCATAGCCATCGTAGCACCGGCATGCCCAAGCCAGGTGTCGTTTGCAGAGCTGTAGTTTGTATGCCCCTGCAACCACTCCTCTGTCTTCCCCTGATAACAACTCTCCTCATCCAGGAGTCGGGATCCATCATCCACCCCACCTCTGAGCGCTTCACCTCGAAGCGTGGCTCCTAGTTGGCTCTCTGGTGAGAGTGTTTTATCCCAAGCCTCACACTTCAAAGGAAGAAACAAGCCTCCATACACATTTAGATGTTAAAAGAGCCTTTGCCTGATGCCTCAACTGGACTCAGCCCTTTAGGACGTCTCCTACACTCTTCATCTCGATTGTAGAACGAATGAAAGGGCATCCGATTTCCTCCCAAAGACTGTCTAAATGGGTTGCAGAATGCATCTTGTCCTGTTATAAAGTCTCAGGGGTTCATCCCCCTCTGATAGTAATTCCTCATTCCATCAGGGCTCAGTCTACCTCTGTTGCCCACCTGAAAAATATGCTTGTCTCAGATATCTGCAGGGCAGCCACCTGGTCTTTGTTGCACACGTTTTCCCAGCATTATGCTCTCTTAACTGTTTCCAGAGCTGATGTGGCTTTGCTGATGCTGTTCTACGAATCATACTGAATCTGCCGCCTCAACACTTTCCTCTGTGATGGAGGTACTGCTCAGGAGTCTCCTGACAAGGTAAGGACACTACTCGAAGAAGTAGAGGTTACTTACCTTCAAGATGTGTGTCAGTATGCATGCTCCATTGCCCGCCCTCCTTCTCCCCGTCTCAGTCTCTCACTGGACTTTTGTGGGTGAGAAGGAACTGGAGTGGCAGTAGTCTGCCCCTCCCTACATCCTCATACCAGAGTATGAGAGTGTCTAGGGCTTAGACCCATGGATAAATATCTTTGATCAAGAGTGTACAGATGCATGCACGTCCTGACATGGAGCACCCATAGGGGGACACATCTCAAAGAACTCCAGTTATTGTACAAGGTAAGTAACCTCTGCCTCCTGAATTTCAGTATTTTAGCGGTGGAGGAGATGATTCCCCAAATAACTTGTACATAAATCCCACCATTTGACCAGATTTCTAGTAACACAGATTCTTTTTTTAAAAGAATTAGATGCTACCGTGTAGTGACAGCTGTTTTAAGCGTCAGCTGGCTCTAACCCCTCTTCTTCCCATTGCCCTGCTTTGCTCCTTGCCATCACCTTCT